AGAGAGAGAGAGAGAGAGAGAGAGAGAGAGAGAGAGAGAGAGATCAACATTAATATTATTGATATCCCTTTCTTGCAGCGATTGCCCACATGGCTCAGTGTGTGTGGATGACGAGGAAGGTGGAGGGACGTGTTGTCTGGGAAAACCTGAATACAAAAAGCCTGGATCTTGTCCCATTGTAAGCCAACGTCTACTGACAGGGGAACTAACCAAGCAAAGTGCCCAATTCGTGAAAGCGTTAACTTGTATTTAAGTTACCTTCCCTGGACCTTGCACTTTTGCGTAATACCGGTTCACTATCATCGTTATTATCATCAGCCTTTTTCACCCCTTGTCGAAGTGAAAACCACCAACAGGAACTCTCCATCTATGTCTATCCTGTGCTATAGTCTCCACCTTTGTCCTGCTGCGCCCCGTATCCGTTAGTATGTCCAAATTCAAGTCTCTTTCCTAAGTACTTTTTGACCTTCTTCCTTATCTCTTTCCTTGTCGGTTCCATCTTACTGCCTGGTGCGTAATGTCTGTTTCTGTAGTTTTTCTCAGGGAATGTCCTATCCATTTCCATGTTCTCATTCTGATTTAAATATTATTTTGTTTTTGTAGTTGTTGTTGTTGTCGTCGTCGTCGTCGTCGATATTTTTGCTGCAATAGTTGTTCATTTCTTATTATGTCAGGCCAATGAATACTTGTATGGATTTTGACAAATGCCTGTAACATTTTAGAATCAACTTCCTCAACATGTGTTTTGCTTACAGCTACGTGATCATTGACGTTGGTCTTGATCCCAGGTAGCTTGGTCTTGTCTAGATGACATATCTCAATAACACAAAAGTGTATAAAAATTATGTTTTGTAACAGAATGACTTGGGTGCGTGTAATGGACAAGAATGCAGCCGTGACGCAGATTGCCCCGGGGAAGAAAAGTGTTGTGAAGGATGTGGCAAAAGGTGTATTGAGCCAGTGCACGTAGAAAGATGTAATAAGGAATGTCCAGTAGGTGAGTCTTTTTGGTTTTGGTTTCAAAGAAATTAACAGGAAGAACAATATTTGTATTATTATCAGATTGTCATTCTTTCCCGAAATACTGTCAATCTATCTATCTATCTATCTATCTATCTATCTATCTATCTATCTATCTATCTATCTATCTATCTATCTATCTATCTATCTATCTATCTATCTC